TGATGATCTTTCAAATCAAACGGAGGGGTTTGATTTGAGTGCAAGGTTTCTAGCTCATTCCAGCCTCTTTGAGGCCCCACTTCAGTCCAGCAGAACATCCCCAGCCAAGACTACAGGGAATTCTGGCTGAATAATCCAGGTTCTGCCACACCTCCGCCTTGTCCTTCTCTGCTCACCTCCTCCCTGCTTCCTGTGCCCTGACCCGACGGATTGGTTTCCTTCCGGTTTCCGGCCCCACAGCTCTACATCCCCAGATATCGATCTCAGCTCTTTCCCTCCAGCAGCAGTGGCTCCGTGGAGGGCCTCACTGATAATGACACCCTTCCTTCGCCCAGCCTTGGTCTGCTTTTTTCAGCTGTGGTCCACAGAGTCAGGCTGCAGCCAGCTTGGCCCCGTGTTTCACGTGGGCAGAGACAGTATCCTGAGGGGCCCTTTCTAGCATCCTCTAGCATCCTCTAGCATCCTCTAGCTGTATCTCATCGATGCAGCCCCTTCTTTCTGCAGCCAGAGCCTTTCCTATCTTGAGTTCTTGTCATTTTCCTCTGGCCATCGTGTGTTTGTGTGTGTGTGGTGTGTGTGTGCACATGCATAGAAAGTGGGGTACACGTCTTGGTACTGGATTAGATCCTTCCACCTGTCCCCTCCCTCCTCTGTAACTCAGTAAAAAGCATGCCCTGTTACCAAGTCACCCTCGACTCCTCCCTTCTCATTTCCTCCATCTGTTCAGCCAGACGCTGCAGTATACTTGAAACGGAGTGTATTGACTTCTCACCTTTCCCGTTGCCTCTGTGTTAGGCAGACCCTCGCCACTTCTTGCCAAGACAGCTGTAAGAGTATCCTGTCCATTGTTTTTTTCCCTCCAGTTTTGGCCTCTGTTCAATCTGTCCATCACAAGGCATTTAAAGTGATTTTGTTTAAGTCAGTCTCTGTCTCTGGAAAATCCTTCAAAGAGTCTACACTGTTTCCAGCATGAAATAGAAGCTTCCCCTCTCTGACCTGACTTCTGTTTCCCCTTTGCCCTCGTCTCTTGCCTCCTTCAGACTTCCTGGAAACAAAGAGTCATACTCTGAACTGCATGCGATTCCTTAAAAGTGCAGGTCTCTGCTCTGCTTTTTATGAATGAAGTGTCACTTAGTAAAGCACAATTTCCCCTTCTTGTAGATCATAGGCCAGAGTGAAATACTTTAAGTTCTATTATATCCCATGACAGCTGCAGAGCTTAGTATTTAGAACAAATAAAGGGAACCACTATTTAACTCCCTTAATTTTCTAAGGAAAAGAGAGAAATCCATGATTTGCACTGCTTAAAGACACGCAAAATGCAAAACTGAAAGACATTTTACATCATGATAACACAACTCTGGCTATTAAGCTTTTGACACAAGTTTATAATAAGCACATACTCATTTTCTGATTTATTTATGTTCTGGAGTCATATTTCCTTGGTGTCATTTCCACATCTATCATGTATAAGCTGTGTGTTCTTCTGTGGGTTACTAACTCTGTGCTTCAGTTTTCTCATGTGTGAAAGGGGATAATACAGTACCTACTTCAGAGGACTGCTGTGAGGATGAAATACATTCAGTTCAGTGCCTCAGTTGTGTCCAACTCTTTGTTACCCCATGCACTGCAGCACGCTAGGCTTCCCTGTCCATCACCAACTCCCAGAGCTTGCTCAAACTCATGTCCATTGAGTCGGTGATGCCATTCAATCATCCCATCCTCTGTCGTCCCCTTCTTCTCCTGCCTTCAGTCTTTACCAGCATCAGGGTCTTTTCCAATGAGTCAGTTCTTCACATCAGGTGGCCAAAGTATTGGAGTTACAGCTCTCGTATCAGTCCTACCAATGAATATTCAGGATTGATTTCTTTTAGGAGTGACTGGTTTAGGATTGACTAACGAAATACATTAGTATCTATAAAGACTTGGAACAGGACCAGCTCATGGTAAGTGCTATGTGTTCGTTACTATTATCATTATAACTGAAATATTTCAAGTAATCTATCTTATATATTTTAAAAAGTACAAGTCTCTTGTTCTTTTCCCGAATGACCCCATTCTCACACTCTTCTTGGTTAATCATACTTCAAGTTTCAGCTAAATTTAGAATAAAGTTAGAACAACCTGAGGGGGCTAAGTAACAGAATGGTTAAATATAAATTTTGGTATAAAAGTTTGGTATACTCACACAATGAAACATCATGAATGCTAATTTTGAATAACTTTTTAATAACATGGAAGAATACACAGTAACAACAATAAGATATACTGGTTCCATAAAAGATATTAAGTAAATATAATAAAATACAAAACCATGTACAGAATGCTGGATAATTTTTGTTTTCTTATTTATGCCTTCCAGTAATTTCTAAATTTTGTACAGTAACCATGTATATTCCCTGAAAGAGAAAAGCAAACTGACATAAATTTTTGAAAAATCAGGCATCATCTTTTTTGAAAGCCTTTAACATGTATACTCAATGCCTGTCACATAGTTGGTCCCCAACAAAGTTTTACTAAATCATTTTGTTCTATTTCTGGATGTGCCCCATGACCAGCCTGTAAAGAACTTGAAACAGGTGTAAAAGTGTTGTCTGAAGGAAGAAAGATGCTCCAGAAGGAATGCTGAAAGTTTTCTTCGTGAACCCACCAAATAAACTCCTCTCAGGAAGTTGACATCCCCTGAAGTCACTGCCGCCCACCTCTGACAGCTACACAGCAGGCTGCAGACGGCTGTGAAGGCACTTTTCCACTTTAAGAAGAGGCACTGATGGACAGCTTTAACCCGCTCACTATTCTGTGGATTCCACCCTGAACCCTGCACTTCAGATAATTGTGTCCCTACTTTTTCAATCTACAATCCCATTTCTGTTCCCATTCCCACCAAGGAGTTGGGCTGCCATGTTGGCCAGACCAAAGGATTCACCTCTTCTTGGTTTATGATCTTGGCAGAATGACCACAAATCCTAGCTCAGCTTGGCTTTGCAGTCTCAACATTCACTCACAAGGAATTCTCTAGTTCTGGGCACTCTGACTCCTTAGAGGCTAGTGCTCTTGGTCTTGGCACCCAGCGATCTCCCTTACACTTGCATCTTAGCCCTCCCCTGTAACAAAAGCAGAGAATGTCGGGATTGACCACCTCTGCTTCCGGTTCCTCAGCCGGAAGGAGCTTTTGTAATCTCTCCGGAGAGTCTGGTACCTACAGAGATTTGCCACGTGTGATCTCAGAAGGTCACACCTGTCAAAGAAGTTTGGTCATCTCTGGACCACGAGTTATAAGAAACTGAGTCTTGACATATATCCTATGTAACCTTAATCAAGTTTTGTTTTGTTTTGTTTTACTTCTCTAGGTCTTGCTTCCTAATCTGAGGCATGGAAAAATAGATTGGACTCAGATAAAATCACAGACATGGATGTGCTGAGGGAAATCAAAAGTGTTGAGGGAAATCAACACTAAAAGTACTAGGGCTTTTGTAAGGTCATGTGATGGCTGTAGTCAGAGGTCTTGCTTTCAGCCTCGGGAAGCTGGGAGGACAAAGTGCTGAAACAGATGTGAAAGTTCCCAGGATGGAGTTTCGAGCGTAGTGGCAGCGTAGGGAAGCGGTGGGGGGCGTGGGAAGGGAAACCTCTTATCAGCACGAGTGAGGGGGAAGTGGAGAGTTTCCCTGCTCGGGAGTGAGGGGGCGGCTCACAGTATGCCCTGTGGTCCAATCTATTGGACCGTGGTTGCCTCACTGTCACTTCTGACATGCCTGAACTGGGAAGAGCCGAGGCCTGGAATAGTATCCTTCACCATAAACCCACTGGGTGTGTGGGTTGAAAGAGGGGGAGCAGGAGTTACTATTCCATAAGAACATTCTGAATAGGGGCTGCCCTGGTGGCTGAGTGCTAAAGAATCCACCTGCCAATGCAGGAGACATGGGTTTGATCCCTCATCCTGGACCCACGCGCCGCGGAGCAACTGCGCCTGTGCGCCTCAACTACCGAGCCTGTGCTCTAGAACTACTGAAACCTGTGAGCCCTAGAGCCTGTGCCCTGCGAGAAACCGCTGCAATGAGAAGCCCAGGTACCGCGACTAGAAGTAAAAAGCCCTCCCGGCAGTGAAGACCCAGCACAGCCAAAAATAAATAAATAAATAAAATTAAAAAACAAAACAAAACCCCCAGAAACATTCTGGATAGAGTGTCAAATGCCCAGTTCATTCGTACTTCATTTGACTTCATTTGAATTTGAATTCATTTGAATTCACATCCTGAGTCCATGTTACCCATCACACCCCCTTGAATTCACATCCTGAGTCCATGTTACCCATCACACCCCCTCAAATTAAAACAGTTAGGGCTGCCTCTGGGCACTTATTAACCAAGTGTTTATTGAACACCTGTTGTATACGCAGAGAAAAGCAGAACACAATTTCTGCCTCAAGGCGCTCCCTTTCTAGGGGAGGAGACAATCGAGTAGATAGACATATTATAGATGAAGCAATGGAGGTGCACAGAGGGAGATACAGAATTCAGTTGCAAGAGAGGTCAGGGAAGGTTCCCTAGAGGAGAAGAGCAATTTTTTTGTGCATACAAAAGGCATTTGTTATCATTCTCTGTTGATTATTGGGCTTCCCTTGTGGCTCAGCTGGTAAAGAATCTGCCTGCAATGTGGGAGACCTGGGTTTGATCCCTGGTTGGGAAGATCCCCTGGAGAAAGGGAAGGCTACTCACTCCAGTATTCTGGCCTGGAGAAGTCCATGGACTGTAGAGTCGATTATTTAGAAAAGACCTCAATGTATAAATCTTGGAGGCTACTAATTTAGCTAAACATATTGACACAAGCCTTTGTATTCTTCATGTGAAATTTCACTGGTGTGAGTGCACTATTATTGTTAAGACCTTCACGAATAAAAACATTTTACCTGCATTAGCCAAAGATCAAATCAAGGCTAGGAGGCAAAAATCAACAGTCATCCTTTGTGTGGCTAATCACCTATTCTTTTTTTTTTTTTCAGGTAAAAACCATGTTTTCCTTTTAATGGACACCGTTTCCTCTCTTGCCTCGCAGTCTGGTAATGATTAGGTCCCCACCTCTTAGGAGCACTGCATCTGAACAAGCTGAGACAGAACCAGTGTGACCGCAGTCCCAGAGCAGAGCTTTTCACTTACGAAGGGATTCACTCAGAGTCCAAAGCTCTGCTTTCTAACCGCAGAAAACCTGGAGCTCAAGGCAAAACTGGAAACCAGAAGGAACCAGAAACGAAGCCTACTGCCTCCTCAAATACCCGAGGGCTGATCGTCTCACCTCTGCTACAAGGAATGGCCCCACTCCAGCATTTGTAAGGGAAAACGTTTTGTTTCTATTTCACTTTCCAACTGGGTATAAAATCTACTAAAAGGAACACAAAGAATCAAAACAAATCAGCTCACTCACAAAAGTCACTCCCAGATAGTGATTTCTGGTTGCTGAGATGACTCAGCACGTTATTTCCAAGTGGCAAAATTCAGGACAATCTGAGGACTCAAGAGTGGCAGCGACATTCACCAACAGGTTCGTGTGAGACACACATACACACAACCCCGTTTTTCAGTGTATATACGGCAAGGGGCCAAGACCCCAATCAGCACAATAACTTATTTGTACATTACAGTGCACAGAACGGAGGGAAGAGACACTTTCCTGGAGACGCTCGTCTGGGCTCTGAAGGCGCCGGAGCCAGTGCCCCGGCCACCATTAGCTCGATGCCGCCGCCTCTCTGGCTGCACTGGCCTCGGAGGCAGCTGCTCCCCGCAAGGGATCTGCTGGCTTCTCCTCCTCCTCCTCCTCCTCCTCCTGGGGGTAGAGGTCTGGGTACTTCTGCATGCACTCCTGCATGGCCCGGAACTGGTCCACACAGTCCGACCCCTTGACATCCTCCTTGCTGTAGTGGAAGCAGGAAAAGGCTGCCTTGAACTGTTCCCCGCACGGGCCGCTGGCCATCCCCCCAAGGCATGGGCAGTTCCAGTTGATGTCTCCGTTTGGCAGGATCAGTCCATGCTCCTCGTACGGATCATTGGGGTCGTCAGCCACCAACTCTGCGTTGCTTGGAGTCTCGTGGTCTTCTTTGGTCACAAATATAATTCGATCCTTCCCTTCCTGCCGGCAGTAGGCCATGATGCAGCCCTGCACTCCGACCTCGCGTTGATCACGGCGGCGGCCTCACGCCGTGACCTCTCCGCCGCGGGGCGGGCGGCTCCTAATCACCTATTCTTATCATTCTTCTTAAGCATCTTCATAAGCCTTCCATGGCTTAAAGACTAGCACTCCCCACTCATTTAGACTGAGGTCTCCATGTCAAGTACTCTTCCTTAGTGCACAGTGAATTTAGCCTTGACTTGGAATGATTCATTTACACCCAAGGGATAGTCTTTTCCGCACTTTGGGCTCTCTGACATTTTGTTTCTACCTCTGACATGAGATTACCATATTCTATCTTAAGAGATAGTTATTTCCGTCACTGTCATCATCACCTCTTGACTAAGAACTCTTTGAGGGCAGGGGTGGGGCTTCATTCAGCTCTGTCTGCCCTGACAAAGAGCAGGTGACTTGGGGTGAATGGAAATGCCACGGATCACAAAATCTGTGTAGATTCCTGGTGCTATCAGACACATCTTCCTGCTCTTGAAGCAAAAAAGATGTGTGCAGATGAAACTCCATCAACCAGGAAAGAACTTGAGAGATACTTGCATAGATATCAGGGATCATAGACTGTTAGACCTGGGGATGGCAGTCTTGGTGAAGATCAGAACATTTGAACCAAGACTCATAGAAAAGAAAGGGTGAGGACAGAAAGGTTAAAGGAAAGAAGTACAGGCTGAGGGCTGTGTAGATGGTGGGGAGGGAGCGGGGAGAGTGATGAAGTAGGATGATGTTGAACTGTATTTAGTGATCCTGAGATTCTCCAAGATGCTCTGACTCCTTCTCTTCCACATTGCTACAGTTCCCAGGAGGCCTGGCTCCCTCTTTTCACTTTTCATTGTTTTTCAAAGCAGAGGGAGGCAGGTGGCAATGTGGAAGAGGGGGTGAGCAGGGGGTCAGAGGTGACTGAGCTAGAGGTGGGTAGTGGTCTTGATCCCATGACTCTAACTTTCCCAGTTCATGCACTACTGTATTCCTGGCCTTTGGAAACTTCACATAGTCACCTTAAGGCTCACAGCAGCTGTTGCACCAGGCAGGGCTTTACATGAATACAAGGAATTGGATGACTGTGGAACTCCCACACGATCAGAGTATATACTTTATCTGTAACATAGATGAATTCATTGCCAAGTATATCCAATTCCTTTTTTATAGTGGAGGAATATTCTTTTAAAAAACTTTTTATGTATTTAAAAAATATTTAAACAGGTCTTAGTTGCAGCATGCGAACTCTTAGTTGCAGCATGTGGGATCTAGTTTCCTGACCAGGAATTGAACCCAGGCCCCCTGCATTGGGAGTGTGGAGTCTTAGCCACTTGGACCACCAGGGAAGTCCCAATAATGGAGGAATTTTCTTCATCTGGGTGTCCTCCTAAATTCTAGGTTCCTTCTAAATTCTTTCTCCTTTTCTTTTATTGGCCTGAGAGAGCACAGGAAAGCTTGATTTCTTTTGCATTCCATTCTTGTTCTAGGACAGATGACCCACACTCTTTTCCTGCATTCAACCCTGGGTCTTTGTGTGGGCATGGCCCCGAGGTGGCCAGCAGTTTCTGTCTCTTTGTGGTCACCTTCTAGATGTGTCCTGGAGGTGGCAGGTGGAAAGAAAATAGATTTTTAGGGTCAGATGAATCATGGCACTACCAGTGAAAAGCTGTGTGGCCTTGAGATTATCAGCGGTTTCTGTTCTGCTTTCTGATCCTCATTGCCTGGGGAATCATCACACCCCTGCTCAGGGTCATGATGGATGTTATATGGTTATAGATGTCTTGTGTGTGTAGGGCAGCTTGCCCAGTGCCTGGCACATAATAAACGTTTACTATGCGGAAGCTATACTTCTGTTGCAGCCTTCTGCACATTCAATGCCGGACTCTTTCTTTATGCCCAGGGAAATATACAGGGGGCTAAAATCACTCAGCCCAGCTGAAGGAGGCCCTGCAATGGGACATGGAATCCTGGCTTCCTCTTCCTTCTTGGGGCCAGGCCTGTGGCCACCCTGGAAGAACTGACATGAAGCCTGTAGCTTCTGGAGGTGCTAACCACTGAGAGCAGGATGGTTCTCATCTACAAGCCCCTGCTAGCAGGTGTGAAGGTTCCATCTTTCCTCTTGGGTTTGCAATTCTGCCCCCAAGTCTCAGTCACTGTCTCTGGTGTACCACTTCCCTCGGTTCAACCCACTTCTTTCCTCCCCCACCTCCCTCCGCTTTCTTCTGTGATGACACCACTGAGGAAGAGAAAGCTGTGCAGAGCTCCTCACTGTCAGCTAGCTTTAGTTTCCCTCTCGGCACCATGACATCATCTGTACCCTGGAAATTCCGCTCGCCCTCCAATGCCCTCACCTCTGTCCCAGGCCTCAGAGTTCCTATAAAGAGGGGTTCCCAGCTCAAGATCAGCACAGGACACAGAAGGGTTCTGAAGCTTCTGGGTGCTACAGTCCAAGCTCCGGGCGAATCTCTCCTCTGCCAAGACCATGAAGCTCTGCGTGACTGTCCTGTCCGTCCTCGTTCTCACGGCTGCCTTCTGTTCTCCTGCGCTCTCAGCACCAAGTAAGTCCACCCTTCCCGTGGCCCCCGAGTCAGGATGTAGAGAGAACTGACTTTTCTAGTTGGTGCTGGTCCAACAGTAGCATTCGGGGAACGGGCCAAAAGGAGCCAGGGAGATCTCTAAGTAGCCTGCTGTTAAATGCAGAGCCTAGTAAACACTCAGTAATATTCAAGTTCCTGTTTTCATAAGAAAGAGCAACTCATAGGCTGGCTTAAGCAAGTCCCTGTCTCTCTGAGTGGCTTAGTTTCCCCATCTGTAAAATGAAAGGAGTTAAAGACCTGTGAACTGAGACCCAATCCAGCCTCAACCTTGTAGAATTCTTTCATCTCTAGGATCCTCTGTTCAGAATAAGAGTCCTACTCTGAGTGGGTGGGCTTGAATAGAAGGGACCGTGTTGGGGGATCTGATAGATCTACAGGAATGTCCCTTGAATATCTATGACTAGAAGCTAAAATGAAGAGCTCCTTGTAGAACTTAGGTCTCACCTCAGCCTTTCTTTCCAGTGGGCTCAGACCCTCCCACAGCCTGCTGCTTTACTTATACCCTGCGGAAGATCCCTCGCAACTTTGTGATTGACTACTATGAGACCAGCAGCCTCTGCTCCCAGCCAGCCGTGGTGTGAGTATCAAACCCGGGCTTTTCAGGGAGGCAAGGGTGAGGGCAGGATTAAAGAAGGGGAATCTATTTGGGGTGGAGGGGCGATTAAGCAGTAAATAAAAAAGATGACAGGAGGTGCGAGCTGTTTCTTTAAAGCATGCTTAGAAAACACGTTGAAAAGTCACTGATGAGGATAGCTGGAAATGAATGGGGAGGTTGCATCCACATTGATTGCAAAACTCATGGGTTCCTAATCTGGGCAACCCAAGAGGCCAGAGCTAAACCCCAGGGAGGAAGTTACAAGGAATCAGGTTCCAGCAGCCCCCACTAGGCTGTGTAACATGAGCTAAGGATGGGGAGATACCCAATACAGGCAAGGTCTCAAGGGATTCTCACCTGTCCACTCTTGGTTCCACAGATTCCAGACCAAAAAGGGCAGGCAAGTCTGCGCCAACCCCAGTGAGCCCTGGGTCCAGGAGTACATGGATGACCTTGAATTGAACTGAGCTGCTCTGAGCCCTGGGGCAGGTGTTCTGCAGGAAAGGTCACCTGAACCCGACGCTTTTCAGCGAGATGCACCTTCTCCATGCTCACAACTCCCTTCAGTAGGCCCTGTCCCTTCTCTTAATTTAATTTTTTTTTATTCTGTGTTGTGTTATTACTGTACTTGCTATTGTTTCCCATTATTTATGTTTGTTTTACCAAAGGACACATGTCCCCCATGGGGATGGTCTGCCATCACTGTTCCTCTGCTATTGTGAAAACATGGATAATGTAACTGATTTCAAGTGTTTTTGTAATAAATTTTTTTTTTAATGTAGACCGTTTCTTTGTGCTTTAATTTGATTTGTAGTAAATCTAATTTACTACAACTGCCTGGTATTATGAATAGGGACAAACTACAATTTCCAAACACAGTAAGAATGAACAATGACTGAGGATGGAATATGGGGTAAAATGTCTAAAGATACAAACTTCACTTAGTACGTTTAGCAAGGAGGATTTTAACACCCTTATGAAGTAGGGACTATTATTCTCAATTTTACCAATGAGGGCATAGAGGCTCAAAGGTGAGGTGACTTGTTAAGGATTGCAGGTCTGCTTGGGGAGCACTGTGAAAGGAAGACTCAGAAAGATATCTGTGCTGCTGTGAAACATCTTGCAGGGAAGTTGTAAATGAGAGAAGATGAAGTAGTTCAGAGTCAGAAAAATGGGCCTCCATTCCTCACTATCATTACGAAGGTCATCTTGTTGAAGCAGAAATTGCTAGACAGTATAGGACTCTGAGACTTCGGTTCCTTTTATTTTTTAATTTCAGTTTTTTTCTTCTCAAGTAAACATCTCACTTCTTTAACATAAAGCTAAACTGTTTGTACCAGTTTCTAGGCATTCAGAGGAAGGCCTCCCTGGTCTGGAGAGTTATAAAACACTCAGACCCAGGACAAGACAATCATTAACTGCTTATCCAGTTTATCAAGGAGAAAAACCTCCAGGTGGACCATTAACTCGTAAACATACTTCTGGTCCCTAAAGAATGGTCTGGGGTCTTGGAAAAGGGTCTAGGGATGGCAATGTGTGGGAGGACTGAGAAACAGGGAGCCAAAAGAAAGCCATAAAAATGACAAACTGGAGACTCCAACTTTGAAACAGATTGGTCAGAAATTACACACATCTGGCCCCAAGCCAACCACAAATGAACAGATCAATTCTAATAAAAATATCAATGGCTGTTATGCCCACCTTCTGGGGGCTCTTCATACCCCCTCTCAGTGTCCATGCTGAGAGTTTTGTATCTCTATCCTCTAAAATAAACTTTGCCCTTGTGAGTGTTCACAAATTTGTGAAGTTCAGTTTTCAGCTCCGCAAACAAGTACTCAGTTTCCTGTTTCATTGTCTTATTGGACCTCAGTTTTC